TAAATTCCCTGGAGAAATTACTAGAAACACAGTAAGATGTTCACTGTATGTATCCTAATTTGAATTTCTAGCAAGTGGGATGTCATAAGAAATAAATTATGTCATTATGAATTTCTGTCATTTCTACAGGATCTTTTAGCATAATCCATCTTCTTTTTATACTTCTGCATTAATAAAGATTTTGCCCATGGAATCCTTGAGGGTTGCATTTCAAGGATTGAATTTGTTCTTCAGGTTTTTCACCTTGAGTAATGATAACTGTTTTCTTCCAATTCCAGCCCCTCATATAGTTTCTTATAAAACTTTGGTTTGTCTTCTCAAGCTTCCCTTTGAAATGCTCTGTTCAGCTCACTTAACTCAGCCCTCTATGCCCTTATCTTTGCATTTTGGAGATGAGGATGTTACAGGCTAGGGTAAGGTTCATAGCTGTTGTTCATAGGGTCGGTTTGAGTTGTAGTCAGCTTGATGACATCTAACACAACAACTTAGGGTAGTGTTCCTTTGACTCTGCTACATGTATAGTTAGATTAATAAGGAAATACTACTTTTTATATTAGGTTAAATTGGTATCTCACTAGTTTGAAGTACGACCTTTTATTATTCTGTATAGTTCCACACTTGTCTTAACTGTTACTTTGGTAAAATCACTAGGAAATGTAGGAATTTGTATGTAGTTATTTGTGTCATTAACTATATCATATGCTGTTTATGGCTCGTATTAAATGATTACTGTATATATAAAAAGCCTTTTTAAAAATTTCAAGGCAGAGAGGTTATATGTTCTGATGTGTAGATGATGTTCTTGTTATGTGCCTTCAGGTCGCTTGCGACTTCGCACCGTCTCCGATACACCCATCCCAATTACCCCAGTCACTGAATCAATCCACCTCATAGTGGGTCTTCCCCTCCTGCGCTGTCCCTCCACCCTACCAAGCATGATGTCCCTCTCCAAGGGTCCCTCCTTACAACTTGTCCAAAGTATGTTAGACGGAGCCTCAGAATCCATGCTTCCAAGGAGCCGCCCGTTTGACCCTTTCCAGGATGAATCTGTTTGTTTTCCTAGCAGTCCATGATAACTCTCAATACTCTTCTCCAGCACCACAGCTCAAAGGCATCAATTCTCCTTCTGTCCTCCTTAGTCATTATCCAACTGTCTGATGCATAGCAAGTGATTGTAAAGATGTGTAGATAGCATTGCAAAATTTTATAAAGGATAAAATTGCATTGCTAAAGATTAATCTCTTACTAATAGTCACAGAATGCACCTTTGAAATCCTGCATATTGGTTACTTAAATTCTCAGTTAAAGCCATATTTTGTGAGATACATTTCATTGTTGTGTGAACAACAACTGGGTGAAGCTGCTGGACTCTATAAGGTGGGCTTTGTTGTTGTGGTTGAGGGTCAGTGTGGAATGTTTGGTTGGTTTTTATTTAAGCCTCTTATTTAGAGTCAACAAGACCTCCTGGAGGGCCCTTCTATTTAAAAGTTGGCCTCCAGCGATTATATTTTAATCCCTTGTTACTATATTTTGGAGGAACATCTTTCTAAATCGTACAGCACTTTTGTCAATTTGCTGTGCTGAAGTAGTCTGGATTTGCTGTGACACTTGTGCCTAGGGGTTTCAAATGCCATAATGGAACAACTCTGCCAGAGGTGTGCCAAACACCATAATGACTATCCATCATGGGCAGTGTTTGGTGGAACTCCCAGATAGACTGAGGTTTGGAAGCAGGAATGGCATCCACTTCCTAAATCACATGCCTCTGGAAACTCTTATGAACTTGGAGATATGATGATAGTTACAGAAAGGCTTCAGGTCTTTTGTTCATAGGGTTGCGGTGAGTCCTGCTGAACTCCATGGCATTCAACAGCAACAGTGTTTTATTATTGTTGTGTTCTGTTGAGTCAGAACCAACTCATAGCTGAGCCTCCAGCAGGTTATCAGAGGCTGTAAGTTGCATGAGAGGAGTTCCTGTCTGTCTTCCATGTGTGATGTGGAGTTCTTAATCATGACTGCAGAGATATCTTAGCTCTTTCTTAACATTTAGGTAAAAGGTGTTCAGATTTTTATAAAACCATTCCCAGCCTTTCTTGTTTTTCTTCTTCCAACTGTTCAGTTTTCTTTCTCTTTTGAACAAATCTAAATAGATTTGGGAAAATTTTAAGGATAAAATTAGTATCATTGTTCCTTTATATATAAATGGACATTCCAATATATTTGTTGTTTTGAGCAGCTATAATTGTGAGTTCAGGCAGAATAAATACTAAAATAAAATATGTGTGCTTAATGATAAATAATTGTTACATACTTCTCTATTAAATTATCTCATTTCCAGCATGCCAAATTCCGAGGATGTAAATTGGGAGGCAGGTGATAGCTCATCTTTCCCTCTTTGAGCTGCTAGTAGATTTGAACCACCATGTAGTATGGCCCCAGAGTGTCCTCTCTCTGAAATAGAGTACCCTTTCTAGGCAGATTTTTTTAAAATTACATGTATAGATTTTGTTTGTTTTATGTGGATTGTGTATAACATGTTGTTGTTAAGTGCTGTTGAGTCGTAGATGATTCATAATGACCCTATGAACAAAAGACCTCAACACTTGAGTAACTTTGATCGTTTCTCCAAGTTCATAGGGTTTCCAGAGGCAAGCTATTTTAGAAGTGGATGCCACTCCCGCTTCCAAGCTTGTTTTAATCAGGGAGCACCACCAAACACTGTCTACCATGGGTAACCATTATCGCATTTGACACATCGGTGTCATGGTTTAACATCACAGCAATCACAGGTTAGCTCTGTACAGCAAGTGGACAGTCCTGTGGCTTAGAACAGTATACTATACTAAAAAATGAGTACTGTACATACTTAGCAAATGAAGGAATGAATGAAATATTTGACTATTAATAATAAGAACCTGACAAACGAGGTTAGTTGTGCCTTCTGGGAATTTACAGTAAAGAGTCAAAGGCAGTCAGCTAAACCTCAGATAACTGAAGAGTGACAGAAGGGTCTTAGGAACAGACTTCTCTAGGAAAAGGAGAGCAATGAGGAGGCTCAGCTGTAGGAAAGGCAGGTTAGCATAGGGGTTAAGATGCTAACTTCAGTGAGCCTCAACCCTGTTTCTTGAAAGTGCCTTCCAGGCTCCTGTAGCGCAGTGCTGGTGACTAAGTTGTAAGAAAATGCACTGCCAACCCAAAGGCACAAAGTTGGGATCCACCAGTTCCTCCTAAGAAGCTGGGCAATCTCTCATGCAATTTTTTGCCTCTGAAAACAGCAATGAGCCTATTCCGACTCTGGTACACAATAACAGGCCCTGCAGTGTTTCCTGGCCTCTCTACAGAGGAGAAAACTAAGGCACACATGGGCTGCAGAGCTGGAAAGGGACAGACAGCTCTGGGCAACACAGTCTGTGAGTGTTGGAGCTGATTTTGTTGAGCTCGATGTTTTTGTTATCATTTTCTACAAATAAACTAATTTTTTATACTTGGAAAAGAAATGAAGGAAATCTAAGTAGAGTGGATTGAGTGTGGCCTTGTTAATTATGTTATGATACTTAATTAACAGAACATCATATTTAAGTCTCACTCAGACTCTTAAAGATGTTCATCTTGAAGTGTTTAAATTAAGATTGTAACATCAAAAAATAATTTCTTCCCCCATCTCATGCTATTACAGTATTTAGAATTATAGTATTAGAATTTTATATATAGATAAAAAATTGCTGTGATTCAGAAGCATTTCAGCAATGCACAACAACATACTAATATTCTCATTTTTAATTATTTAAAAAATCTAATTTTACTTCCATAGTACTTATTGGTGGAATTTTCCCTATCCTATTACAAATCACCCTCTGAAACAAAACGCTTTTTAAAATAATACATTTACTTTAATTCACAAAATGTTTCTTTTACCCAAACCAGGCTAAAATACCATTGGCCTATACAGTCAAAAAAGTTTTATTTTATTGGGTGATTTTAGAAATGTCACACATAAAGTTATTACTTAAGATACAAAATTTATACTGTGCAAATTAATATTGAAATATGCAAATATAATTTAATACTGAAATTAAATTTCTTAAATTTTATTTTCCATAAATAAAATCATATAAATGTTTCTGGATTTTATTCAAGTAATTGTATGCTTTGAAATATTTTTTTTTCTTTGAAATATTTTAAAAATTTATGCTTTTAAAATCTTATATACATTTTTGATGGTGGTTCTTAAGAGAATTTAAAATCTTAAATATCAGAATTGTATAAATTAAAAACGTATTTCATAATGGATCTGGATAAAAGACAGGCTAAAGGACAGGTATTATATATCCTGCTTTACAAATTAATGCTAGTTATGTCAAACTAAGTTCAGTATGCCAATACAGTTTTTGTTGGTATTGAATTAAATACTTCAGTTTTATAATTTTTACGCTGTTTTGTTACTCCATGTTCTTTAATATAAAAGTATAATACAAGTAAAAAATTCCATATTTTTAAATGAAATAATAATATGAAAAAAATAAGATGAGAAAAGCTTAAAATTTTCCTTGGATTGATAATTGTATAAACGTTATTAGCAACTTTCCATGTTCAAGAACACAGATTTAATGGAACTATATTATTAAATCATGGGATATACTGAGTCCTAGAAAATTTTGATAATAAAGCAGAAGGAACTGTGAAACTAGAAACTTATTTGGAAGTTTTTATCCCTCTGTTTTTAATTTATTATTTTATGTGTCGGTGTTCTTTCCAAACCTACCTTTCAGGTTTTGTCTATCCCTTTATCTGTTCCATGGAATAGTCAATTGTAAATGTCTAATAAATTTTGAAGTTAACAAAGAAGAAAATCCTTTCAAATAATTGCTATGAGAGTTTGGAGAGAAAAGATAAATCCACTATTTCAGTAATTTTTTATAACTTTTCAAAGAATGGCCAGGTTAAATTTAGTATTTCACTTTGGGGGAAAAAAGATTAACTCCAAAATTTGTTGTTCACAGGTACTGTGAGAATAGAGATGTTTCGAAATATGCAGAATGCAGAAATCATCAGAAAAATGACGGAAGAATTTGATGAGGTATAGCATTATAATATTTTTACACATTACCTGTTTGTACTTTGAAATTATAAATATGCAATTAAAATGTGATTTCATTTCATTTAAAGAAATATATGTTGTTTCATGATTGTATACCAATCTATTCTATTAATCCTAAATTTAATGCTTTTTAGAGATTTGATTCTATCAATTAGGGATTTTGTTGTTGTTAGAGGCCATCAAGCCCAGTGTGATGCACAGCAGTCCCAGAAGCAGCAGGTCAGCATGGCGCCCTCTCGGGTGCGGTCTTCATGATCTCTGGCCGGCTCAGTCCGTTTTTGCGGTCACTATGTCAGTCCATCTCGTTGAGGGTTTAAGGTAGAGGTTCATTCTGTTTTAATACTGCTTAGACACCTTCTCAAATACTCAACTTTATAGATGCATTTTAAACCCTTTCCTTAACTATGATAGAATTTAAGCCCCTGTGCCATCCTAACAGTCTGTCCATGGTGGGCTTCCAGTTAGGACTTTACAACCAACAATAGATGCCCCATCTTTCTCCTGCAGCGCGTCTGATAGCCTGAGCAGTATGCCACATATTAATGTTTGTCAAAACACATACTTACATTTAAGAATTGAGGACATACTGATGATTTTTTTGTGAGGATTTTACAAAAGTACAAACTTTAAGTTTGTGTTTGGGACACTTGGCTTATAGGTAGTTTCATTTCTTCTTGAACTCCATGTTTTCCTTCCTCGTTATAAAAAATTAATCACCTCTCTATTACAATATTCTTGATTCTAAAAAAAACCTGAAAAATACTCTTCTAATTGCTAAAACGCTTTCACACTTTATTTCTGTACTATGTGTATGGTGGAATCATTCATGTTAAATTTTAATGCATCTCCAAATTTACCAAAAGATTCTCATTCCAGTTCTTCTCTTTTGACTTTTAGTTCTAATAACAAAGATTGCTTTTCTGAGTTCATTCTTGCAGGAGGAGAGGGCAGATTGGAAGAAAATAATTCAAATATGTGGTAATAAAAAAAAAATCCAAAAGCATAACACACATGAAAAATCATAACCTGTGATAATGTATGTTATACAATATGGCTTGCTAAAAACAAGATATGAAGCCTTTAATGATGAAAATGAAAATAATCAATTGGGTATCGATTGCATCTCAACATCAAGAAAAGAAAAATCCTCACAGTTGGACCAATAAACAAAATTATGATAGAGAAAAGATTGAAGTTGTCTAAGACTTAATTTGATTTCGATCTCTCTTCAGTGCCAATGGCAGCAACTGTGAAGCAATCAAAAGACATGCTGCATCAGCAAATCTGTAGCCGAGAACCTTTTTAAAGTGCTAAACAGTGCTTAACGTGCTTTTACTGCGAGCTGAGATGCAACTGACCCAAGCAGTGGTGTTTTTTGTCCCTTGATAAAGCCTGTGAAAGTGAAACAAGTCATAAAGAAGTCCTTATTGCTACCTTTGAATTGTGGCTTCATACTGTAACTGAATGTCCCATAGATTGTTAAAAGAACAGCTATGTTTGCCTTGAGAGAAGTACTGCCTGAAGGCTTTTCCGAAGCATTTCTGGGGAGACTTAAAAATTTGATATGTCATCAGAGGGGCCAGTCTGCTTAGTAAAAGCAGAAGGTAATCAAAAAAGATGAGTTATGTGTTCTTCACTAAGCCAGCTGACACTCCTTTAGAACGGAAACAATATGGACTTCTCGATTCCAACAGCTGTTGTTAAAAATTGCTTAACATCTAGCACATGGTTTTCTTTTGGATCCCAACACATGCACATACATGGTTGACAAAAATTAAAAGGTACAAAATTTTTCTGATTAGGAATTGATCTGGCTTATATGATATGTTGTTACTCAATATTTTTATTACATTAAGGACTTCAAACTACTCTTGTGATGTGTTACTGTTGCTTTGTATGTAGGATGCTAGAGAATTGCTCTTCCTCCTCTTGATTTTCATGCTCCACACTCAGCTTTAAGTTGTCTCTGCATCTTGTGCCCCAGAGAGTTACCTCTCTCCTTGCTCTCAACCATTATCCTAATGATTGTTAGTGCTCTCTGCTTGGCTAGTAGTGGGGACATTGTAACTGTCAGCTGCTGTTAGGGTGAGTCTGGTTTATCATGGTTCTGTCTGAAAACAGAGAATACCAGGAGAATGTCTGTCTGTGTTTTGTTAACTATTCAAAGACAGTAGACTGTGTGAATGATAACAAACTATGGCTAACACTGAGAAGAATGGGAATCCCAGAACACTTAAATATGCTCATATGAAATCTGTACAGATCTATACTTTGATCGAGAAGATGTCTGAATGGAACAAGGGAATGCTGGGTTAAAATCAAGAACGGTTTCATCAGGGTTTTATCCTTTTCCATACCTGTTCAGTCTGTATACTAAGTAAATGATCCATGAAGCCATACTCTTATGAAGAAGAACGTAGCATCAGGATTGGAGGAATATTCATCAACCATCTATTATGCAGATGATACAGCCTTGCTTGCCGAAACTAAGAACCATCTGCAGTGCTTGTAACAGAATATCAAAGAGGACATCCTTCAGTGTGGATTACATCTCAACATCTTTACCTCTGGACCAACAGGCAACATCATGTTAGATAGAGAAAGGTTTGAAGCTGTTAATTAATTTGTCTTTCTTGGATCTACAATCAACACCCTTGGTACCAGCAGTCAGGTCAGAGGATGTGTTACTTTTGGGAAATACCATTCTAATCGACCTCTCCCAATTACTAAGGAGCAACAATGTCAGTTTGAAGACAAGGTTTGCCTAATTCAGGCCATAGTCTTTTCAGTTGTTTGCTATGCATTTCAAAGCTATACGATAAATGAGGATGAGAGAAGAATTCTTTATGCCTTTTAATTGTAGTGTTGCAGAGGAGTTCTGTATATTCCTTGGACTTCCAAAAGATATGTTTTGGGAAAGGTGCAGCTTGAGTGCTCCTTAAAGGCAAGGATGACAGAGCTTCATCTCTCATACTTTGGACGTATTGCAAGGGGAGGGGATTCCTTGGAAAGGGATACCATACTTGGAAAGGTAGAGGGTCAGTGAAAGAGAGAGGAACCCTTAATAAGATGAATCTATAGCAGTGGGCTCAAGTGTAAGAGCTGGTGCAGGATAAGACCGGATTCCGATCTGTTGTTCATAGGGTTGCTGTGAGTTGTCCTTGACATGGCCTAACAGCTATAATAGTAGTACGTGTACTGAGCAGAACGGCTCTGTAGGATTTTCAGGCCTGTGATCTCTGAAAAGCTGGTCATCGGGCCTGGCTTCCAGAGTGTGTCTGTGTGGGTTCACAGCACGCAAACTATCAGTGCGACTGTTTGCATATCTCACCTGAGTCTTAAGCATGATTATGGTAGAGATTTCTCACCATTCCTGTCCCTTCACCTTACTGCTGCCAAACTGTGCTGGGATGTGTGGTTGATCATCAGCAGAGGTTTTTTGTCCTTTTCCCAGTGGTAGTAGACTTCTGCTTTGTGTTGATAATCCTCTCTCAAGGTAGATGACCTCTTTCTTCTTACTTTCTCAAACTTGTAGTAGTTTTGCCTCGGTCACAATGATAACTCAGTTTGTTCACTTTCTCCTGAAAGACAAAGGCTTCTTCTCTATAAACAAGAATGGTCCAGAAGCTGGCTCGACTTATGTCCTTTGCCCTCTTAGCTAAGACATCACAACCTTACTTTGGTTAGTATCCTGTGATGCCAGAAGCTGTGCTGCAACCAGCATTTCAGATACCAGCTAGGGCACACACGATGATAGGTTTCAGTATAGCTTCCAGACTAAGAAGCAGCATTGGCAGTTGGCTGCTAAAGTGACAGATCTTTGAAAACTCTGTAAATAACAAGGGAACGTTATTAGATAATGGTACCGAAAAAGAGCCCCTCAGTTTGGAAGATGCTAAAAAAAAATGAGGAGAAACAGCAGTAAATGCCCATTAATAATTGAGCACTGCAGTGTATGAAGTATGAATCTGTGACAATTCCTGTTTCTTACAGTTGAAGTAGAAAGCATAAAGGACAACACCATAGGCATTTGTAAATTGAGGTGAACTGATATAGCCCATTTTTTAACAGACCAGTCATGTGACCTGTTATGCCTGGAATGGCAAATTGTAAAGGAATGGTGCCCCATGCTTCATCAGAAAGAACATTTCAAGATTAAACCTGAAGTGCAGTGATGGTATACTATCCATAAACTTACAGTGAAGACCTTTTACTGCAGCTGTTACTCAGATATATGCACCAGTCTGATGTCCAAGATGATACAGTGAGGACTTCCTACTAGCTTTTGCGATCTGAAATGGATTGAACATGCGGTCAAGATACATCAATAATAATGATGACCTGGAATGAAAAAGTTAAAAATAAAGACGAATGACTGATATGTGCAAAATATGGACTTGATGACAGAATAGAGGCTAGGTAAAATGGTTGAGTTCTGTACATTATTGGTTTATTCATGTCAGATACCTTTTTTAAAAAACAAAAAATGTGGTTATACATGTAACTCACCTGATGTTACTGATGTTACACAAGAATCACATTGACTACATTTTTTTAAATTATTTTTTAAATTTTTCATTGACTACATCTTTAGAAAGAGATAATGGAGAAATGAACTATCAAAACCAACCTTGTGGCTAATTGTGGAACACACTCATTAATTACTCTGCAAATTCAAATTGAAGGCGAAGAGAAGTCCATACCAACCGAAATACAACCTTGAATTAAATACTGATGACCAAGAAAGACAGAAGTGCATTACAAAAACAGTGGAGAAAGAAAAGGCCATAATAGAATGCAAAAGAGACTCTGAAATTTGGATGGGATTGGATCAAGGCAAAAAGGAAGGGAAGAACTACTAAGGAAGAGAGTGGAACAAATTTCAAAGAGCTATCAGGAACACAAGTCAAGTATAAAGAAGTCAGCAAAGAGCTGGAGTTGGCAAATCCAAAGGGCAAAACACTCGCTATTTCTCAAAT